TCCCAATTTCACCCGGATATTTTAGCATCTGCAACCTTTCCCAGGTGTCCTGAGAGGGGAACAAGGTTAAGACCTACAGGTCAAGCCAATGATCATTAGGTATTACTGTAACAGAAGGTACCAACCTCACCACAGTGTGTGCATATGGCACAGGATTAAATGTGCAAACTACTTACAAGATTATTTTTCATTTCACAAAATGAATTCTGAACAGCATGAAAACTAGAATTGTCAAAACTGAAATGTCTTTCTCTTCATTGAGAGGTTTGCTTCAAGTTAAACTGGAGTTTTCTACAGCACTGTAAATAATCCAAATCGAAGTAGGTAACAAGCTAAAGAGGGAAAAAACCACATGCTTAAGCCACTACAGCAATCACAAACAAAACCCGCTACATTCTACAAGAAATTATTTTTGCCACTGATCTGCCCAGGAACCACATAACTGTTCTAAACACAAAAATGTCGAGAATTTTTCCCTTGCCCAGAAGTGGTTTTTGAAAAGGATAAATGCATCTTAACATACATAATTTAGTTTGCAACAAACCACAAAAATGAAGGGGAAGAAGCCTGAAAAAAATAAAACCTGTACATTTGCTATAATAATCTGATCAAATACCACTGAAACACTCTGTGCTGAATCCTTCTGAAGCCCTTAAAATAACTCTGTAGTCTACTAACAAGTTCAAGTTTTTCTTTAGAACACTAACCTTATTCTAGCATCAATGTGACATTCTATCTCACTTTATGGTCTTCAAATACAAAGTCGCTAAGCAAATGAAGCATATGTAAGACTAAGCGACCACGGCCATTCACTTTGGTTGTGGCCTTTCAAGTGCTCCACAGATATTCCCGCATGGTGCAGAGGGTGGCTTCCTACATAATGAGCAAGGTTACAACTCACACCAACACAGTTCCTTGGAATCAATGTGAGCATCAACTGACTATCAGATTTCTCTTTACAACAAACAGGGCCAAGTTTCTCAAAGGAAACTCATTCTATTCCAATGAAGTGGTACATGAGGAAGCTGTGTAACAAACATCAGGAGGGACAGAAAGAAATTAGGTATAACCGCCAGTGTAATTAACATTAGCAGAAATCTCTGGTGAACAGACTTTGCTCAGTTATAATTGCAAAGCCACCAGGGATCTTTAATTATTAAAAAGTAAACCATATGCCAGAGTAATAGAAGACAGCTCACTAATCAAGAATGGTATGAAACAGTAGTTCTTAATATGGTTCTAATCTACTTTTTGATACTCTGAAAGCTTTTCTTAGCAGAAACAGCTATATGCAAAATTTGAAAAATGATGTAGCTAAATACATCCCAACAACTAAACTACAATTTTATGTATGAGTCTGGAAAACAATTTTTCCCCTTAGTTATGGTATACGTGTATACATATACATTAGATGAAGAACTAATACGAGCTTGCTACTGACTTCTTTTGACAAGCCATTTCTTTAGACCTTGATTTGACCATAAAAAATGGATAATCATATTTGTCATTAGATAATCAAAATAGACTTAGAAATCCCTATGAAAAACAAGGAACAGTTATTTACAATGACACTAATTCTCTTTGGCTTGACAGTTCTTATAGAAAGCATCCTGAGAAAGAAAAGCACTTGGGAAATAGGAGCATGTTCATGAATCCAGGGAGACTTATGTGGCCAGTGATGGTGATAGGCAGTGAAAATACAGACCCCACCTTTTCACAAGGAAAGCCAGCTAGACATTTTGTGTATGTGCTGATTCAGGCTCACATATATTTAAAGGAGCTTCTCAAATTCATGCATCTTGAATATTTCATTGATATAAAAACTTTAAAATATGATACTATTCTATTATGAAGGCCAAAATAGACTAAAAAGAAAACACAAATCTGAATCTGTAAATACTCATAATAATAAAAAAAAACAAAATATAGCTGAGAGCAGGAGAACATGTAAGATTCTGAGTTCATGACCAGCCTGAGCTATCTATTAAGGGCTAGGATGAAGCGTAGTGGTATAGTGCTTACTTAGCATGTACAAGACACTGCCTACTGTCAATATGCAGCACCATTAAAAACAAACCAAAACAAAAAATAAACAAAATAAGTAAACAAAAATTGAACAAAAACTTGGCCTAACAAACTAAACATAAAGATCTATAACCACACAAGAAAGAGTTTTACCATCTATGTATGTATTTCTTAATTTTAAAAAGTATATTGTAAATTAAAACAGCATTATTTACATTAACATACTTAGGATTTCAGTTATATCATAGGTTTAGAATTATAAAACTCTGACTTTAAAAAGGAGATTGAGTTGGGCACCAGTGGCTCACAACTATAATCCTAGCTACCCAGGAGTCTGGGATCTGAGGATCCCCGTTGAAAGCCAGTCCTGGAAGAAAAGTCATGAGACTCTTATCTCCAATTAACTACCAAAAGCTGGAAATGACGCTGTGACTCAAAGTGGTAAAGCACAAAAAGCTCAGTGATAATGCCCAGGGCCTGAGTTCAAGGTCTAGGTCTGGCACACAAAAAGGACAGTGAAGTCAGGTACTGGAGATTCATGACTGCAATCTTAGCCACTAAGAGGCTCAGATCCAAGAACCACAGTGTGAAGCCAGCCCAAGCAGGAATGTCTGAGAGTCTTCATCTGCAATAAAGTAACACAAAATAGCCAGAAATGGAGCTGTGGCTAAAGTGGTAGAGTACCAACCTTCAGGAAAAGGCTCTCAGGGACAGTGCCCAGGTCCTGAGTTTAAGCCTTAGGATTGGTACAAAAGAAAAAAAAAGGGGGGGGGGAGTTTGACACACATTTGCTGAATAATAAAAAGTTCGAAATGGTGTATGTATTATGAAATTTTCCAATGATGAAGGTGAAAGCTTCTGCATTAGCAAGATTTCTTATATCTGAATTCTTGGTAGAGGCATGACTACTAGCAACCATGAAGCCTTCATTCTAAAATTGTGGGACACCTATTACCTACCCCAACACCTATCACTGCCGTATCAGTCCTACTACAACACAGGTCTAATTCTCTCACCTATTGAAAAGCAGTAGCTTCAACGCTTCCCTCCTAAGTGGCTGAAACCCCTACTGACAGGAATATGAAAGGTAGATGGCTTCCACAACCCACAATCAAATCACAGGGCACTCCCTGCTCTACACCACGTTTGCCATGCTTAGCTTCTGCAAGGGGTCTGCCAAGTTTTCCCTGGCCCCATCTATCCCCACAATGCCCATCTCACTTTGAAGGCTTCAGGCCTCATCTGGTGTCTTGGAGAACTGTAGTACAGTGGCCTCTTATCTTCATGCTTCTCAGCAATAAGGCATATGTCTTACCTGTCCTTGTCTCCAAAATGAGGAGACAGGAATACAGAAGGAACTTACCCAGGCAGCAAAGTCAAAACATAAAAACACTGGTCTATATAAATATCATTACTATAAGTGTCATATAAAGAATGACATCAACAAGTCAGGTTTGAATGTACCATTTCTGCTTTTTGTAATCTTACAAGTAATTAAGACCTCACTTATATGGCACAATCTGCTTTAGAACTGAAGTGCGTCTAACCTTGGTCACTTATTTTTTAAGTAAGAGTTCTAAAGTTCTGATAAACAAGTTTGCAGAAGAGGAGGACAGGTCTCAGAAGTGAGACTTCTAGAATGGTAAAGCAGTGAAGGAACAGCTAAAGGCACTGTGAAGGTGACAACATGGCCTGTGGAAGCAATACTGAGGGACAAGCCTGACTCAGTCAACTCCTATGACTAGCCTCACCCTAGTTCCTTCACTTCCTTACACCGTTAAATCTCTTGATTTTATTGAAAAATAAATAAAACAAAGACAACTCCATACATCTTCAGTCTAAAGAAACAAGTATATTTCAAGATCATTTTCAAAAGAAAAAGAATTCTCCAAATGAAAGAGAAAACAAAAATTAAACCACCAACAACAAAGAAGCAATCTCTGAGAGTTAGGGAAAATAAAATATAAACAAAAATATTTCTGCACCAAATCTTATATCACATTATAAATAATTTCTAAATAACTTAAAAATGAAATTTCTCTTAGAATGTTAGGATGTCAAAAAAAGTTATTAAAAATCAGTAAACAGTAGGGATAAGGAGTAAAGTATTTTCTCAAGTTGTTTTGGGGTCTCTTGTCAAAGAAAATAAACATACTCAAACTACAGAGCCACGAAAAGCAAACACTGCAGAAACCCTGAGACAATGAAAAATCAGCTCAGCCATAGTGTGAATACCATTCAATTAGCTGAATATTACAATTCTTAGACCAAGATTCACAGGATTTCTATGACTTGACTAACGTATATGAAGTCTTTCAAAAAATGTTGGGATTTGTGTGTTTATTTTTTTCTTTTGCCTTAAAGCCTCAGATGGCTCTGAGTGCCAACTGTCATTTTGGGTTACTCAGCTTTTGGCTTGAACTTCTGGGCTCAGCACAACACTGGCAGCAGGAAGGTGCCAGGAACTAGGGATCACCATGGCTCTTATGAAATAAAAAGTATATTGTTCAGCACTTAGGAGTTATTACACATGTATCCTGAAAGTGCCAAGGCAAAAGGGATAATTTTGTGAGGCTCATGCCTATAATCCTAACTACTTAGGAGGCTGAAATCTGAGGATCATGATTCAAAGCCAGCCTGTGGAGGAAAACCTGTGAAACTCTCATCTCTAATTCATCACCCAAAAAGCCAGAAATGGAGCTTTGGCTCAAGTGATAGAGCATCAGCTTTGGGCCAAAAAGTTAAGGGATATGTTCAGGCTCTGAGTTCAAACCCCATGACTAGCCTGCAAAAAATAGAATAAATGAATGATACGTTCTGTAAAATATTAATAATTGAAAAAAGCTGTATCTCCTTTTCTTTCTACATCCAGTAAATCAAAAGCAGGAAACACCAACCAATCAACCAGAAGAAAAGTGTTAAAGGAGCTGGTCTATTCATCCATTCTCACTACATCTGGATCCGGCAGGTCTTACCCTCTGACGCTTTAATCACATAGCCGCCCTTGTCTTCACCAGGGGGCACATTGAGCAGCTGCATGACCCTGTCCAACAGTCCATGGATTATCTCAAACCCAGGATTCTTGTTGTAGTAAACAGCACAGAGATGCCTGTAGTTTTTTGCACCTACATCTGGAAAAATACAAAAACTGGTCACAAAGACACATTAACCATTATTTAAGGAACGTATTATCCCCAACACAAACTTGGGCAAATTAACAAAAAAGAAAACCGATTATTTAACATAAAGAGAAATATTCAACATCAGAAATGCAGGGTAAGATAAAACAGTCTTTTCGACAACCAAATTCCCTGAGGTATTTAATCGGGAGGGAGGAGTGAGTATCCCTCAAAGTTGACCTAGAATATAAGACTTCTTTTGCAGTACAAAGTTGTCAAACTCTTTGTAAACAGTTTAGTAGTATTTATCAGTATTACAAGCCATACTCTCTACCTATGATACCTTCCAAAGGAACTAATCCAACAAGAAGACTTTGTTTACAAAGATGTTTACTCTAAAATTACTATTTCCAATGTAAAAAATTAGAAACAATCCATCCAGAATAACTTTAAAAAACACAGTACAGTTACTCCTGAGAATGCTGCACTAGCTGTTAGAAAGCCATTTTATGAAGGTTTATCCCAACAGAGTAAAAGAAAATAGTACATTAAAAAAAAAAAAAACATGTCACCAGATGCTAGTAGTTCAAGCTTATAATCCTAGCTACTCACGAGGCTGAGATCTGAGGATCTTGGTTCAAAGCCAGCCTGGACAGGAAAGCCTGTGAGACTCTTATCTCCAGTTAACCACCAGAAAACCAAAGTGGCACTGTGGCTCAAGGGTAGACCACTCACCTTGAGCTGAAGAGCTCAGGAACAGTGCGCAGGCCCAGAATTCAAGGCCCGGAGTTCAAGCCCCACGACCAACCAAAAAAAAAAAAAAGTCACAAGTTCAAAAAGAATCATAACTATACTGTGTTGTGAAAAAAAATCTGTGAAGTTAGAAAACTATGATGCAAAGCTGGCAATGGTAATTATCAATGTTAGAAAACCATGAAGCAAAGCTGGCAATGATAATCATCAATGATAGGCTGGTGGTGGCCCCAGGTGCAGGGACATGGATGCTGGAGAGGATCCCGAAGAAGCTTAGAATCCCAGCAATGCTCGTTTTTAAATCTCAGTGGTGGTTATAGCCATGTCTGTTTTATAATCTTTAAAAAAATATATAAACAATACATAGTGTATATATAGTGTATATACAGCATTCTACATATCTTCATAATTAAAACATGGAAAAGAAGAGTAGGAAAAAGAGAAAGAGGAGAAGGAAAGGGAGAAAGGAGAAAGAAGAAAGAAGAGAAGAAAGTAGAGAAGAAAGGAAAGCAGAACAAAGAAAGAAGGGAAGGGGAAAAGGAGTGGGAAGAAAGGAAGAGAGGAAACAGCAGCAGCAGTATACAGATGAATCGTGTGTGTGTGTGTGTGTGTGTGTGTGTGTGTGTGTGTGTGTGTAAGGAGAAAAGGCGTGGGAAGAAAGGAAGAGAGGAAACAGCAGCAGCAGTATACAGATGAATCGTGTGTGTGTGTGTGTGTGTGTGTGTGTGTGTGTGTGTGTGTGAGTCGTGGGTCTTGAACTCGGGCCTAGGCGCTGTCCCTGAGCTCTTCAGCTCAAGGCAAGTGCTATACCACTTCAGCCATTTCCGGTTTACTGGTGGCTAATTGGACATAGTCTCCTGGACATTCCTGCCAGGGCTGGCTTCGAACTACAATCCTCAAATCTCAGCCTCCTGAGTAGCTAGGATTACAAGTGTGAGCCACTGGCGCTCAGCTATAGATGAATCTTGAGGGCGGTCAGTGAAATAAAACAAGCCAGTGTTAATAGGACAAACCCCACCATTTAGATAAGATATCGCTACTGAGCTGCAAGCCCACACCTTCCATACCCTTAGCTCTCTCTTCACAGTAACAGCATAGTGAATGATGACTGCCACAGCTGGGGGGGGGTTGGGGGGGAAGAGAGGGGAACTGCTGCTTTGTGTAGTTTCAGCCACAGAAGAAGAAGAAAAAGCTGAGGTCTTCTGAATGTGTACAGTTAATCACACTGCACTGCACACTCAAGGATATTCTGAGGATAGTTCTTACGATTTTTAAACTACGTAATTTCTGAAAGTATATGGTGTACAGAATCACAACTATGCAGACATATAACCAGAAATTAAAACTTCCAGATCTAGGAAAGAAAAAAATAATAGAAACAAACAAAAAAAAACCTGTTAACAGAGGTTAAGTTTGGGGAGGGAAAATGTTTTTTAAATTTATTTTTTCAAAAATTAATATATTCTATCTTGACATGAAAACATTCTATAAAAACCCAGTATTCAAAAAAAGACTAACAATTCATAAATGAACTCTGATGTACATAGATAAACAAACTATTATCTATACAATGGAATATGACTTAGCAATACAAAGTTACAAACTATTGATGAACTTGACAACTTGGCTGACTCTCAAAGGCCTTATGCTGGGTAAAAGAAGCCAGTCACAAGTCTACAGAGAGTATATGTCTGTGTTTATATGACCTGGCAAAGTCAAAACTTCAGCAAGAGAATAGCTATCTTCATTTACATGTGGAAGAATGTGACTAAGAGAACAGCAGGAGGTGTCAGGGTAATGGAATGATTCTAGATTTTGTGGTGATGGTTTAAAAAGTGTACTGCATATAAGACTCAAAGTTAAATAGTATCATTTAACTTTATAACTATTATACACTATGGCCCTTTAGTAACAAATGAATATGGGACTCATTTTGCTTTTCATATTATAAGAGAAAGAAGACAATGTCTATCTCAGGGAATAAACTGAAAACAGAAAGTTCTTTCATACTGACATACAATGAGCAAAAGCTCTTCTACAGACTCATCACCACAGGTAAGAGCTACTAGTCATACTTACATAAGACTTCCTTTTATCTTCCTAACACCCAAGTAAAACATGGGTATTTTAAGACTCCATACTCCATTAGTAAATTCAGAGGACAGTGAGCACATAAGCAGGGTAAAAGAGAACTACATATACTGATATTCTGATAATATCAGGTGTTTAAGTGCCTGTCAATCAACCTATGTCCATATAATTAATTATGAAAAGTATTATTGTGCACATAAAAGAGATGGAGAAAGAAGACCTCAGAATGGTAACATTAACTTGCCAAAGTCAAGCTAAGTAGCCAGAGATAAGCATAATGAAGTACATAGTAAGTTATAATAGCAGAACTTGATCAGGGTTAGCTGACTCTAAAAGTGCTTGCTCGTTCTACTACTTTATGGTATACTCTAAACAAATTTTAGGTAAAAAACAACAGTGTAGTAAGTACAGGGAAAACTTATATTTTTTTCTTTCCACGCTTAATAGAGCCAAAGATGTGCAATCTTGAAGTATTTATACCATAATAAACACATTTTAATTTTCAAAACTTTGCTAATATATAAGAATTCCACTTAAGTAACTGATGAAGTAGGCCCTGAGAGGAGACTCGAGCTCATACAGCTTCTTTCCAGGCTTTGCCTTTGTTTAGAAAAAAGACATTTAAACAAGGTTAACTAGACCTTGGCTCCAATCAACCCAGTTCCTGGAATGGAAAGAATGTCCCTAGGTCCCCCTCCCCTTAACAACATAACCCACCTTGATCGTTCAAGTTAGGGACCGACCCATAAAACAGATAGGATGTAATATGGCTCCAACTGGCGACACCATGTGCCCAGGTAAACTCCGCCTATTGGCCACCTGTGTGTGATCTGGTATGACTGTACAATCTTTTGTGTGTGTTGTGATCCCATTAGTCACCTGCGCACAACCAGGCTCGACCTCATGGATTTTGCCTTTAAAAACCAAAGTACTTGGGCCGCTCAGGGTCGCAGTATCAGCATCGGAGCCTTCTCAATGAAGTTGCTTCTTTGTTAACAACTTTGTTGTGGTGGGCTCTGTCACTCCAGATGACTAGGTGGGCTTGCCTGACTGTCTTCCTACTACACTGAAATAATTTTTTTTTAAGTTGGTGAAGTTTCTATTCACCAACAGCATTTTAATTTATACAAAGTCTATTCTGAGTTCAATTTCTGATTGAACAGACATGGAGAAACAAGTATTCTTACCATTTAACATTTCTTAGTGCATTGTACGTCCAAGGCTCTTGACTCCATGCAAAGTAGAGGTCAAAGCCTGGACACTGTTGCACGAACTACAGCCTTAATAATGATTTTCTGAAAAACAACAAGTCTGGAAAAAGAAGGAAGCACACACAAACACTACTAAACAAGGCCAGAGGCAGAGAGTGGGCCATAATACAAAGGTCAGGTGAGGTCCATACAGGAACACCAGGAAGCTGTTATTCTCCACATTCCCATTTCTAAGGATAAAGAAATCTTACATCGAAAAGCAAACTGAAAGGTGCAAGAATAAAGATCAGTATTAAAATCAGGCAGGCATAAAAGCCCACTGACCATCACATGAACATAATAAAATAAGGGACTTAAGTCTACTACGTACTCCACCTTCCCTTTACCTATCTCTCCCTCTCTCCTCTCCTCCTTTCTTTCTCCCTTTTTTTCTCTCTTCCTGAAGGGGAAAAAAAATGAAACAGAACCAAATTATCCCTTTCATACTACTGCTTTGCTTCTGGGTATTTCTGCCATGTGGTACCCATTTGTTAGTGTCACATGCTTCCACTTAAACACACAAGCACGTATTGAAACTACTTTGTAGTTCCGTTTTGACTGTGAGAGTAGACCAGCAGTAATGCCACCATTCAGAGAACTCAGCAACATAAACTAGAAGCTTTATTTTAGTAATCTTTGCTTTGCAATATTCCTTTCCTGATCACCAAATTATAGAAAACTTATCTTTCTGAAAAAGATCACAACTTCTCAATCAAAAACATGAATTTTTTTAACAGTGTTTTTAGTGATCAAAGCAATGACATAATAAAAATAGAGAACTTAAACAATTAAATTCTACCTTATTTAGGAAAGGTTTCAAGATCTTCACAGACCAGACATAACACACACACTTTTATATTTAATTTTGAAATATTTTAAAGAAAGACCACTGGCATCTCTAGCTATGTAATTAGTAGT